AAGCACGTGGTGCTTGACCCCACCCAAAGCACCAAACCAGAAGAGATGATGGGTCAAGGAGAGGGGGGTGGAGAAATTTCTGGGCTGATGGAGAGGAGAAGGGAAGAGCGATACAATGTCTCGCTAGCTCGCGACGAGTTTTGGCCCCCACCCCCTTCCTTTGCCCTTCCCCCATCGCGTTCGACACGCGTGCTGACGCTACAATGCGGCCTTTTCCCTCTCTCTCTTCTTCAGGGAATGGGAACAGGCTCTCCAGCTTCGTCGCGAACCACCACCACTTCCACATCTGCTCGCTCTCCATTGTCCATAAAAGTGACCGAAGTCATATCGATGGGGTCTGTTTGCGCATTTGCGGCGCGCGGCGCGGCGCCGCGGCGTCCACGCGAGTGGAAAAGAGGATAGCGAGGGGCAAAAAAGGTCAGCAAGGCAGAATGAGTCGCGCACGACATTGAACGCGCCAAGAAAGCAACACTTTGTCTGGCCAGACAAAGCGACCACATCGATCGATCGCCGCTTGGGACACCCCTTCTTCCGAAGCCTCTCCACTCACCCGTCCTGACACCCCTCTTTTCCATAAAGCTTCTGCCCAGAATGACTGGAAAGTAAGAGTCCTCGGCGAGCATGACGGTGCAAGCCACAGCTTTGGATCCGACTTGGACGGGCCACTTGCCCAGGTTGGTGATGCCATTGAAACCATAGGTTCCCGGCGTAGTGTCCTTGGGAATGAATCCGTGATTGAGCGCAAAGGATCTGGATACGTAGACGTGCCTGTAGCCCGATTTGAGCATCATGGGCACATCCTGCACCGGTCCCAAACTTCCCTTTAACAATCTGACGCCCAACTTGCTGTGAAACTCTTGAAAGGCGATCTTGTGCGATGGCGTTTCGCTCGGCGCTAGCGAAGGAGCTGCACCTCGCCTCTCTTGCCGACCCGAGCGCACGGAAGCTGCATCGTTGGCCGACGGATCAAAGGCTGGGAAATCGGGAACGACGGGTTTGGAGTAGCCTGGTAAAGGAGCAGGTTCTCTGGCTGCAGGGTACAACAAGCTGTCCCTTCCGCCTGCAGAAATTCCGCCCGCATCTGTAAATTCTTCCACGCTGGTGACTTGATGAGGAGAGACGCGATGGATGGAGACGGATGATGCTCCTCCTCCTCCTCCTGCGCTCTTACCTCGGCCAGGAGTGCGCGCTACGAGCGTGCTGTCATTGACGATGGGCACATTGGCCACTTTGGTAGCCGCACCTGCACCTGCACCCGATGCGATCGACGCCCCATCCTCTTCCTCTCGCGATGGAATCTCTGGCGATTCCAGATACACTGGGCGCGCAAATGTGACGGAGTGCGTGCAGAGAGTCAGCGTTGCGGGCATAGACTCAGGGCGCACTTTGCCGTTCCCCCTTGCACCGGCATCATGGCTCACGATCCGCCTCTTTTTGGTTGGCTACACGCTCGGTGAAGATGTCCCAGTCGTCGTCTGGCGGTGGAAAGCGTGTATGAGAAGAAGTGGGGGGAGGGGGGGTCAGCTGCGGATGCTCTCCTCGCTGCATACATCCCTCCATCCATCTCCAGCGCACAACACAACACAACACAGCACAGCACAGCATGGGCCAACTCACCATCCTCTAGCGCGAATGTTTGACCGTTCCATGCATACTTGACAACGAGTGGAATGCCATCGTCCAACTGCAGACGGATCTTGCTTGCGGAACGAGTGCGGATGGAGGAGAGGGAATCGTCGGATTTGAGTCGGAGGGAAAAGGAAGGAAGAGCTCCTGCGTGGACGTTGAGGATGGGCATGGTTGTAAGAGGATATGCTGCTGCTGTTGGTGGTGTCGGTATAGAGTGAAATGGCGGGGGGGCCAAGGGGTGATGGAGGTGGGGTGAATGAAGTGAGAGGTGGATATGGGATGGTTGTTGAATGCGCGGATGTGTGGTATTATTATTGTAATCACTGAATCAACTTGCCTATGGTTACAAAGTT